TGCTGTGACTGTGTTTTATTGTAATTATTGTTCATGTTGGAACCCGCAGCTGGGGGAAGGGGAGGGAGCTGCGCCCTTGGCCTGGCCTGGTGCCAGGGCCAGAAATGCTGAGCGGAGCTTCCACCTGTCCCAGCGCGTCGGGACCGTGAGAGGGCTGTCCCCACCCAGCGACACCCCAGGGCTGTCCCCACCCAGCGACACCCCGGGGCTGTCCCCACCCAGCGACACCCCGGGGCTGTCCCTGTGTCGCTGCCCCTGCACCTTCTGTGAATTTTCCTCCTCGGACTGAGAGGAGCCATGGGGGAGGATTGGGGACCCACACAGGAGCGTCCAGGGCAGGTTTTGGGGAGCCTGGGTTTGTATCAAAGGGTTGGGTCAGGGACTCGAGCACCTCACGGAGCAGCCAGCCCTGCGTGGGGCTGCCAAAATCCTCATCCCACGGATGCACAGAGCCCTGAGCCCTTCCACGGGCTGCCCTTCACCCCAAAACCCTGCTGGGGCTGGGGGGCACCGAGAGCAGCCGGGGCGGGGGGACCCGGGATGGGATGGGAATGGGGATGGGGATGGGATGGGGATGGGAATGGGGATGGGAATGGGGATGGGAATGGGAGGCGGCTCCCGGAGCTGCCCGGACATGTGCACAGGGAGAGACGAGGCGGAGAGAGCAGAGCTGCAGGAGAAGGTTTATTGGAGACGCACAGAGGCTTCGGCAACGCGACCCCTCCGCAATGGGGGGGCTGCCCGGACCCCCCCGGCCCAGCCCTCACCTCCTCCTGTGGCTGCTCCAGCCCTGCGGGAACGGGGTTTGGAGCTGGCACGAGCCAGACTGGACACCCCCCACAAAAAATGTTAAATAGTCGGGGGCTGGCAGCTCTGTGGGACGGAGGCACCCCCCTCTCCCTCTTTTCCCCCTCCCCAGAGCAGAGGATGGGGGAGAGGGAGGGAGGGGCTCTGCCAAAAGCACCCCAAATCCTGGTATCCAGGCTGGGGGGAGAGGGAGACTCCTTCCCCCCAAAACCAACAAAAAAAAAAA